AGTGCCATTTAGCTACGTTAGCTCTGTTTAGCTACATCAGCGCCATTTAGCTACGTTAGCTCTGTTTAGCTACATCAGCGCCATTTAGCTACGTTAGCTCTGTTTAGCTACATCAGCGCCATTTAGCTACGTTAGCTCTGTTTAGCGGCGTTAGCAGTCCTAGCGTCTAACTGAGGCCTAGCATTCAGACGTACAGTCAGTGGATCCATCCCGGTGACAGAAGGCGGCCATGTTCTCCGATAGCGGGTCGGCTAGCAGCAGATCGGCGTCCATCGGCGTGGTCCACTCCACTGTGGGACACAAACCAGAAACTGGATTAGTTCTGACCTGAAGAAGACCGTTGGATCTGAAGCAGCCAGAACCGCTTTGGGCTCTGACAACATCTAGGATCCAGGTTCTTTCGGACCGAAGCGGAGGTCCAGTTCTGATCGGTGGACCAGCTCAAGTCCAGACCGGACCATGACTTCATTACAAACAAAAACTGGGGCAGAACCACAAGCAGCCAAAGTCCAAAGAAGAACTCTGAGGAAAACTGATGAGGATCATGGAACCAGAACCTGAGGGTCCAGAGAGAAACGACCTTCTTCTGGTCCTCAACTGGACCACATCGCCGGACCTCAGAGGTTCTGCTGCAGGAAACACTTACAGGAGCAGGTGAGCAGGTTCCAGCAGCAGAGCCGTTGGGTTCTGGTTGTTGCCAGGAGATACTTTGAGCAGCTCAGACGTCCGAAGCAGAGATCCCTGCAGAGGAAGCAAAGAACCGTTAATGATCAACCGGCCAGAACGCTCTGGATGACATCACCGCTCAGCGGTTAGGAAGCAACATCCCTAGGCGGGTTCTACCGGGTCGCCTTCTAGCAGACAATCAGAACTCAACCCCACAGCCTAACCCAGACGAAGGTTGGAAAACCAAGCAATCTGAGGACAGGGGTTGCCATGGTGATGGACCTGTGCTAACAGCCAGGCTTAGTTAATCCTGGTTCTGTCCAGAACCAAACCAGTTTATCACTGGTTCTATTTTCTTCTCTGAAATCCAGAATAGAACTCCATAGATGTTCCTCTGCAAGAGATGCTGCAAGTCCATTTCTGCTCCATCAGAACCATCTATAAACGGGCCGACCCACATCTTCAGAACCTCACCAGAACCAACTTCATCTACAATACCGGCCCGAACACGTCCCAGCTGGACCAGGGCTTTAGAACCAAAGCCCTGGTCCAGCTGGGACCTCCGGTCCATAGGCAGCTCT